TTCCAAGAGCAGGAAAAGCAATTTCCAGGAAAGGTGGGTTGCGCAGGCTCTTCGTGCTGATGCAGGCGAAAAGGGTAGCCCTGTTACCCACAACCCCTCCCAGCTTCCTCTTCAGGCCAACCCAGCGGGCCAGAGCGCTCTGTGTCCACCTGTGCACCGGGAGGTCACGGCTCGATTCCCGGTCAAGGGCACAGGCCTGGGTGGCGGGCTCGATCCCCAGTGGGGGGCGTGCAGGAGGCAGCCGATCCAGGATTCTCCCTCCTCATGGATGTTTCTCTCTCTCTCCCTTCCTCTCTGAAATCAATAAAAATATATATTTTTTTAGAAAAGAAGAAGGGAAGGAGGATTATATTTTAAACAAACAGAACGACACTCTTGGCCAATGTTTGCACACGCAGCCTCTGCAAAGCCAGCTCCAGGCACGTGATGAGCGCCGTTGTTACTTTCCCTGTAATTCCTGGACCCAGAGCCTCCCTTGGTACCATTTTCCCGGCCAAATGGTGCTTTCTTCCAAATGCCTGGAGGTGCCTCTCAAATCTTGGAGGGCCGCCCGTGCCACACCACTCTGGGAACACAACCTTCCCAGGCCCCCAAGGGGCCGTGAAACTGCCGTTTATCTCAATGTACCCTTTTCCTTGTCACGTTGTTTTTCTGGATTTAAAAAATATATGTCTCTATTGCTTTCTGAGAGAGGAAGGGAGAGGGAACGAGAGACCGAAACATAGTGATGAGAGAGCATCATGGATCGGCTGCCTCCTGCACGCTCCCTACTGGGGATCGAACCTGCAACCCGGGCATGTGCCCGAACAGGAATGGAACTGTGACCCCCTGGTTCATAGGTTGAGGCTCAACCACTGAGCCACACCGTCCGGTCAGTCCTGGAAGCAGTTTTGATGGGGGCGGTGACTGGCATTGGGTGGGCAGAGGCCGGGCACGCACATTGCCCTCCGATGGCCAGGACAGTCCCACACACTGAACGCTGGTCCCGTCCGGATGCCAGCCAGTGGCCCCTGTTGAGAAACGCTGCTTGATTCTGGTCCAACTTGTTCACGCTCCATCCAGCAAACCAGTTCTGTGTGTTTTCTCCCCGCGTCCCACCCCACCTGGAATTCCCCTCTCTTCCTCTCTGCGCGTGGCAGTGCTACGCATTCTCAAGGCCTGGCTCGCTCAGATGCCCTCCTGACGCCCTCGGTCCCCTGGCCCCACAAAGCCACCTCCATCTGCCACTGAGAGGTTGGCGGGATGATGCGGAGGATGTGGACCCTGGAGTCACGCAGACCCGTGTGGGGCATGTGCTTGTAGACACCCTCCAACCCAGGGTTCCATCAGAAGCTCTGGCCCTCACACTCTTGGGGAAGCCATTCAAAAGAGAAAGGGAGGCCCGGCCAGTGTGGCTCAGTGGTTGAGCACCAACCTATGAACCAGGAGGTCACGGTTCGGTTCCCAGTCAGGGCACAGGCCCGGGTTGCTGGCTCGATCCCCAGTAGGGGGACGTGCAGGAGACAGCCGATCCATGATTCTCTCGCATCATGGATGTTTCTCTCTCTCTTTTTCTCCCTCCCTCTCTGAAATCAATCATTTATTTATATATAGTCTTGACGAGGATTAACAGCAACAAGAAAAGACTGTAGAATAAAGAGATATACCGCCCTGATGTTATTCACATCGAGCAAAGGAGGAAGGGAGGGCGGGAACCAGCACCCAGGAGGCTGGGAGGCTTGCTAACGACGATGGCTTCTTCTCTGTGTCCGCCACACTGACTTCAACGACCTCCAAGCCTGCATCCCTTGAGGCCCAAGAGGTCGTCAAACTCTATCTTGTAAACTTCGTCCCAGAACCCACTTATGAACAAGGAACAGGCTGGACCAGCCGTGGGTGCTTGAGCCCGACCTTGAGGATGCATGTCCAGGCGAAGAGGTTCTGTCTGGAGACAAAAACCTTAGCCCTGTCTCCGGGTGTGACACTCACAGGCTCTGAAAGGTCGTGGAGGAAGCCGTCCGAGGTCCCGGTGTGGGGGCCTGGGGTCGGGCCAGGGCGCTTTTTGAGGGGATGCTGTCTCCGTCCGTGTCCCGGCGGGGGCAACTCCATTGGGGACACGTGAAATGTGAAACCCAAAAGCCCAGCTTTGCTTTGGGACCACTGGGCACCTCTCTCTCTCTCTCTCTTTCTCTCTCTCTCTCTCTCTCTCTCTATAAACATATATATTTTTATTTTTTGTTGTTAATCCTCACCTGGAGGATATTTTTACATTGATTTTTAGAGAGAGTGGAAGGGAGAGGGAGAGGCAGAGAGAGGGAGAGAAACATCGATGTGAGAGAGACACAGCGATTGGTTGCCCCCTGCACGCAGCCCTGATCAAGGCCGGGGAACCTGCAACCAAGGTCCGTGCCCTTGTCCGGAACCAAACCCGGAACCCTTCAGTCCTCAGGCCAGCGCTCAATCCACTGAGCCAAACTGGCCAGGGCTTTCTTTATAAGTATATTTTGATTGATTTTAAGGAGGAAGGGAGAGGGAGAGGGAGAGAGAGAAACAGCAATAATGCTAGAGAATCATGGATCAGCTGCCTCCTGCACGTCCCCTCCTGGGGATCCAGCCCACAACCTGGGCATGTGCCCTTAACGGGGAATCGAACCATGACCTCTTGGTTCATAGGTTGACGCTCAACCACTGAGCCACACCGGCCGGGTCTCTTTTTTCATCTGGAAGAGATGCCGCAACAGCTCGCATGCCGGTTGCCAGACGGCGTCCGGAGTGATAAGTACTTCTGTTTATGGGGACACATGCCAAATCCCAGAGAAAATTCCCAGAACAATGCCTGTAACTCATGACATGACAGAGTGTGTGGAATTCTTTTCTGGCGCCCGGGCCTCCCAGGTTGCGGACGGAGAACCCGGTGGGAGTGAATTTCATGTCCGCCCTCTGGGGAGGTCATGGCCCAAGAGGTCGTCAAACCGTGATCGCTGACTTTTCAAAATGCAGCGCCACGGCTCTGTGGGGAGAAGGCGAAGGAACCCTCATGGGAAAGCACTGTTCGTAGGCACCTTCTCTGCCCCTTTTCAGCCGGGTTGCAAAGCACCTCCCTTTCAGGGCTGATTTTGTCGTGTTATCACACTGATCCTGGTTTTTTTGTTTGTTTGTTTTGTGTTGTTAAATATATTTTTATCGATTTCAAAGAGGAAGGGAGAGGGTGAGAGAGAGAGAGAAACATCTACCGATACCGGGTTTCTAACGCAGGGAAAGGGATGATCCAATCTGGTTTAATAAAAGTTTAAATCTCCCCAAATCCCACTGACACGCGCAACACGATGACGACAGGGCCTGTGCTGTTAGGTGTTTATTGGGGGTACCGCCCAGGGGACGCATCCCCAACTTTCATCCGTTCTGAAAAATGTGGGTGAATACTGACTTTGCTGCACGCTTTCTCTCCTTTCCTTGGACTCAATTATTATTTTTTTTAAATATATTTTTATTGATTTCAGAGAGGAAGGGAGAGGGAGAGAGAGAGAAACATCAATGATGAGAATCATGGATCGGCTGCCTCCTGCATGCCCCGAACTGGGGATCGAACCGTGACCTCCTGGTTCCTAGTTCAACGCTCAATCCCTGAGCCACTCCTGTTGGGCTCTTGGGACTCTCATTCAATGCTAACTCCATCTTTCATCTTGCTTAGCCTCTCTTTCATATTTTCCCATTTTTTTTTAGGTCTCTTGTGTTTTCATTCTGGATCGTTTCTGCTAGCTGAACTTCCAGTTCCCGAATTCCTTCTTTCGCATTTTCTAACCTTCTGTTAAAATCTCAGAGTCTTACAACTTCCAGGGGAGGACTTGCCGGTTAATTTTGGTTAATTTCAGCTCTGCGCCCCAACCCCAGCCCCCCAGCCACGTGGCGGGCAGCTGTGCCTGTGTCCCTCAAACAGCTGTGCACGCAGCGTGCGGGAGCCAGGCTGTGCAAAAAGGGCTCTGTCCCTCTGTCCTCCAAATATCACGGATCTGGGCACTGCCAGGGCTTGCCGATCGCGGCTTCTGATCACTGAGATGCCGTCGAAGAGGTCGGCAGCCGCTGTAGTTGCGCCACCCCCATGGCTGGAAGCGACCTCCCCTCTGGCTGGAGTGACTTCCAGGAATTTAAAGAGCTGCCACCGTTTTTAACCCCATGTTTGTTTATGTCTTTATTTTTAACTAGAGGCCTGGTGCATGAATTTGTGCACCAGTGGCGTCCCTCGGCCTGGCCTGCAGGATCGGACCGAAACCAGCTCTCCGACATCCCCCGAGGGGTCCCAGATTGAGAGAGGGTGCAGGCCAGGCTGAGGGACCCCACCAGTGCACGATCGGGGGCCAGGGGAGGTTGGCCAGCAGGGGAGGAACCTTGGGAGGGCTCCAAGGCGTGTCCACCCGTATCACACAGTCCTGATCGGCCGGACCCCAGCAGCAAGCTAACCTATCAGCTGGAGTGTCTGCCCCCTGGTGGTCAGTGCACGTCATAGCGAGCCGTTGAGCAGCCTTAGCATATCATTAGCATATTATGCTTTGATTGGACAACTGGATGACCGGACACTTAGCATATTAGGCATTTATTATATAGAATATTTTTTAATCCCTCACCTGAGGATATTTTCCCATTGATTTTTTTTACGGAGAGTGTGGAAGGGAGCGGGAGAGAGAAACAGTGATCAGTTGCCTCCTGAACGTGCCCCAACCGGGGATCAAACCAGCAACCTGGGTATGTGCCCTGACCAGGACTCAAACCTGCAACCTTTTCGGTGGACAGGGAGGACGCTCCAGCCCACTGAGCCACACTGGCCAGGGCCTCCTGTTCATGCTTTGCTGTTAGGTTGAAACAGACGAGGTTATCATCAGTTGACCTTTTCTGTCAAAATCTAATATTTAGGCAGACTGTAAACATGTGTTGTTGTTTTTTAATGTTCCTTCTATTTTATCCAACACCTTTCATCGTGTTCAGCAGGATTGGCCCGAATGACGGAGCCTGCCAGGTCCCCAGACATGGAGTCTGTCTCTCGTCTCTCCGCGCTGATGGCCGTGGGAAGACCTTTCTCTCTCCGAAGCCAGCTCCGCCATGTGCGAGCCCCACGACCTTTCTCCCACATCCTACCCCCTCATCTCCGTGGCCACCACCGTTCTTCCCCCGAGCTCTTCCTCTTCTGCATTTTTTGGTTGACAGTTCATGTTTCTCTCATCGCTGGAAAGCGATGCCAACAAGTGCGCGTGACCTCTCCTCTCCCTTCCGTCCTCCGCGGGGAGCAAAGCGGGAAAGAGAGAGACAATGAGAAACGGGAAGCAAACGAACAGGAAACACCGCTGAGAGACAAGAGGGGAATGTGAACGGAATCCCAGGCTGACAGGCAGGTCGTGGCTGCTCAGAGCAGCCCGTCCCGTTCTGAGCGGTAAGAGGGAAAACCATGGGGAAGAGATCTCCCCCCAAAGAAACAAAATTGATAGAACAGGGGATGCCTTTCAATGTATTGAGAGGAGCCGGGTCGGTGTGGCTCAGTGGTTGAGCATCGACCCGTGAACCAAGAGGTCACGGTTCGATTCCCACTCGGGGCACATGTCCAGGTTGCGGGCTCGATCCCCAGTGGGGGGCGTGCAGGAGGCAGCCGATCCATGATTCTCTCTCATCGTTAAAGAAAGCAAACAATGTTAGGAAGACGTATGTGCCTAGGTATGAACACAAACTTGTACCAAAACACAATAAAATGAAGTTCTGAATAGAATTCCTACGATATGCCTTGGAACTGAGCAAACGTATTTCACAGGTGATATAAAGGAATAAAATCTCAGAACACCCCAGAACATTTTATAAAGCAGTGGTTTGCCTTACCGGGTGTTACAACTCCCTTTAAAACTGCTTTCCCGCTTGGCATGAAAAGAACCACATAAATCAGAAACAAATGCAAAAAAAAAAAAAAAAAATGGTAACATTTTCTTTATCATCCTTGGCTGGTTCCACTTAGCACGGGCACGTCTTACTTCATCGTTTTGAAAAATCTAATAAAGATGATTCAATAACAATCGAGTGAAATCGTTTTTATGTAGATGTGTTTTTCATCTCTCTTTGGAAAAACAAAATGGTTTCAGTGCTTTGGTTTATAATACAGTTTAGGGGGGTGGTACTTGCACAGACGCGTCAGGGTAAAGGTATTGTTTTGAGGCTGCCTTTGTTATGTTTTAGGATGGAGCTTTGGTATCTTTCCACATCTGTATAGCAGGCGCCACCTCAGTCTTGCAAAGGGCCACCTGCTGTTGCAGACTAGGAATCCACCATTGTCTGTTTTGCCAGGCCCATCCTGACCGGCATCAAAATGTCTCCAGTGTCAGCCAACTCCAGCAATGCTGCCAGGCATGGTCTTGAACTACACGTGTAGCCTAATGCATGGTGTGAGGAATTGGTCAGTTACATACATTTTTTTAAATATGTCTTTTTATTGATTTCAGAAAGGACAGGAGCGGGAAAGAGAGAAACATCCATGATGGGAGAGAATCATGCATCGGCTGCCTCCTGCACACCCCACACTGGGATTGAGCCCACAACCTGGGCATGTGCCCCGACCGGGAATCAGACTGTGACCTCCTGGTTCATAGGTCGACGCTCAACCACTGAGCCACACTGGCAAGGTCAAAGTGGTTTATTTTGTTAATATTGTATCTTATTTTCCTCAATAGTGTTCATAATTTTCTCAGCAGATCCTGCTTTATTCCTGGTAAGTTTGTTCTTATGGGTATATATGTTTATTATTTTTGGTAGTGTGGTAAAGAAATCTTATTTTCTAATCTTTTTTTTCTACAAAGGAAAGCTGTTAATCTCTCTGTGATTTTTTTTTCAGCTGGCCTATGGATCCATTTGAAAATGTCCAAACAGAACTGCCTCCTTCATGGAATAGGTGAATATCCAATGAAAGCAACAAAACACCCTTTTAGCACAAGCCGGTTTGGCTCAGTGAATAGAGCATCGGCCTGAGGACTGAAGGGTCCCAGGTTCGATTCCGGTCAAGGGCACATGCCCGGGTTGCGGGCTCAATCCCCAGTAGGGGGCGTGCAGGAGGCAGCCGATCCATGATTCTCTCTCATCATGGATGTTTCTATTTCTCTCTCTCCCTTTTCCTTCCTCTTTGAAATCATTAAAAATATCCTTAAAAAAAAAAAAAAAAAGGACAGAGGAGGCTAGATGCCATGTGGTGGCAATAAATGAACCCTGTCATAAACACAAGATTACTTCCTGCTCACATAAATTCCAGTTCGAGCTGGGAGCCATCCTTTGCCTTCTGCAGATCCACCCAGTGACTCAGGGATCCAGGCTCCCTCCATGTTGTCCCGGGTCCCTGTAGCGGAGGCCGAGAGGGACAGAGGACACACTATCCTTTTGCCGAATCTGGGAGGAAAACACATTAGTGCTCACAGCCCACTGGCCAGAGTAGGCCACAGGCCCTGCAACCTGACTTAGCAGCAAGGGAGGCTGGGAACCATGGGTGCGTTCATGGGCCATAGTAGGGTGAGCATCATCGACTCTTTTTTTTTTTTTTTCTTTTTCCACGACGTCAGCACCGTCGTGTGTGGTCAACAGGCTGACGTGTGTGGTCCGGCGCCTTCACGGAGAAGTTTCAGCCGCAGGAGACGGGCCGTGCAGCTGCTGGCAGGGTGTGGGAGAGCGGGGTGACCCCGAAGCAGCACCTGGTCCCCGGTCTGTTTCCTGGATTTCTCGTTCACACCCTTTGTTCTCTCTGACTCTCCCCTTCGGTGTATAAACAGGGCCTCGCTCCCTCAATCCCCTGGCTTAGTCACCACCTCTCGTTCCTGCCGGGGCCGTGGGCGGTTTCTGAGGAAGTGTCTAGCCGGGCCTGGGGGAGCAAAGAGAGGGCCGGAGTCTCGGGGGTGGCAGGGTCCTGATCTCAGGCTCATGGCTCATCTGCCCCCCAACCCTCCCCTGTGCTTTCTCCTCTACTGTCAGGCTCGGAGCGTGGGATCTTTAGAAGACAAGAGTCAAGATGTATTTATTTTTTAATATATTTGTATTGATTTCAGAGAGGAAGGGAAAAGGAGAGAGAGAGAGAGAAGCATCCATGATGAGAGAGAATCATGGATCGGCTGCCTCCCGCACGCCCCCTACTGGGGATCGAGCCCGCAACCCGGGCATGTGTCCTGACCGGGAATCGAACCGTGACCTCCTGGTTGCATAGGTTGATGCTCAGCCCCTGAGCCACACCGGCCGGGCTGGGCCTCTTTACACTTTGATGAGGTGCCCACATCTCATTGTAGCCTTGGGTTTCGCTCTCAGGAGAGAAGACAGGGGTGGGTGGGGGGGATCCTTGCTTGTGGGTTTGCATTGTTCGTGAGGCATCATGGAAAACAAGCCCCCAGGTATGCAGATGTGACACGGGTATTTCACTGAAACAGCCGTTGAAATAGAGCCATGTCGCCCGGGCAGGGAATGTCTCCGGCTTGTCAATCCGTCTCTAAATCAGGGAAATGCAGCCCTGGCTGGTGTTGCTCAGTGGATAGAGCACCGGCCTGCAGACTGCAGGGTCCCGGGTTTGATTCCCGTCAAGGGCACGTACCTCGGTTGCAGACTCGATCCCTGATCCTGGCCAGAGCGCATGCGGGAAGCAACCCATCGATGTGTCTCTCTCGCATCGATGTTTCTCTCTGTGTGTCTCTCCCCCTCCCTCCCACTCTCTAAAAAATCAATGGAAACATATTCCCAGCTGAGGACGAACAAAGATAAAAATAAAATAAAGTGGGGATACGTGTATGTCCCTTTCTCCAGGTGGGTGTCTGATTCAGTAAATGCCGTCCTATAGGTGCAGCCGGCCACACTCCTGGGCACCCAGTGCCTGGCCAGGGGGGCATCGGGAGCTGTTTGGACACTGGAATGCTCTCAAGGGCCTTATTCACGGTTTAGCAACAACCTATCGGGATTATTCACGGTTTAGCAAGAACGTATCAGGCAGGACAATGGGCCTCTATTGTCTTCCTTCCGGAGCTCTTGCCAGCCAAGCCTATATATAACCCAGAAGATTCCCCACGTGTGACTCACCCGCCACAGGCTCTCCCGGGCAGGCCTCCTCACACGCTACCTGCCTCACCTGCTGGCGTCTGGCCTGAGCTGCCCTGGCCTCATCTCAGCTGGCCCGGCCCAGAGGTGCCCGCGGGTGCCCTCAGCCCAGGCCTGGCAGCTCAAGAGGCGGACAGACGCCAGGGCCCAGAGACAGAAGGTGAGGGGAAACCAAGGCCCCTTGTGAGGCCCAGGACAAGAGCTGGGTCAGCCATTTATTTTTTCATTTTTTAAATATATGCTTATGGATGTCAGAGAGGAAGGGAGAGGGGGAGAGAGAGACACACATCCATGACGAGAGAGAATCAGGGATCGGCTGCCTCCTGCACGCCCCCTACTGGGGATCCAGCCCGCAACCCGGGCGTGTGCCCTGACCAGGAATGGAACCGGGACCTGCAGGTTCCTAGGTCGACACTCAACCACTGAGCCACACCGGCCAGGCTAACCATGTATTTTCCAACTCTTCCTCTCAACATCTGCACGTGTAGCCTTGCAGACAGGAGCCAACAGCTGGGCCAGGCCCTGGGTAGCTAATCTAGCCATCTGGGTTCTAGCTCATCTTACATCGGCGGCCGCATCTGATCTTGGCGTCCAAATGGAGGGAGACATGAGCTTGAACGTGGAACGGAGCGCGGAATCTCGGAGGGAAGGCGGGGGAGGGCGGGTGTGTGGGTGGGAGCTAACCAACCAAAGACCTTGTATGCATCTATGCAGAACCCACGGACACAGGCAGTGGGGTGGGGAGGGCCTGGGGCGAGGGGTGGGGGTGGGCGGGAGGGGGTCGATGGGGGGCGGGGGGAAAGGGGCATATGTAATTGCTTCAACAATAAAGATTTTAAAAAGAGAGAGAGAGAAAAATGAGCTTGAAAGCAGGGAGCCGGTCAGAGGAGACACCAGACCGACGGGCAGCCTGGCAGGGGGGCTGTGGAGACAGCGGGTGGGAGAGCCATGCCCAGATGCTTGGCGTCCTGTGTCTAGAGCCGGTGGCCGCCGGCCAGGCCGACGCTGTCCCTGCCCAGGGAGAAACCGCAGAGTCAGCATCCCGGGCCCCGGGGTCTCCTCCGAAGGATGCATCCGGCCACGCGAAGACAGAGGTCAGACCGATGGGCCGCGACCCAGCGGTTAAGGGCCTCTGCCCAGTACATGCCTCACGTTTCGTTCATTCTCTCAGCAACTGTGGATGGGTGGCCAGGGGGCCCTGCGCCAGGAGGCGGGGGAGAGCCAGGCTGTGTCTCCGGCCGGTCGGGAGACAGGCGCCTAGACAAGAGCCCCCATGGACGGCGGAGGGTGGGGGGCCAGGGAAGGAGAGGGAGACAAGCGGCCGGTGCCCTGTGTCCCATGGCCTGTGGTGGGAAGATAAGGGCAGCTGTCTTTGCCCCTGCCTGGCCTGGGACAAATATTCTTCTGTATATTTTTATTGATTTCAGAAAAAAAGGGAGGAGAGAGAGATAGAAACATCAATGAGGAGAGAGAATCACGCATCGGCTGCCTCCTGCACACCCCGCACTGGGGATCCAGCCCACAACCCAGACATGTGCCCTGACCGGGAACCGAACTGAGACCTCCTGGTTCCTAGGTTGACACTCAACCACTAAGCCACACCGGCCGGGCAAGGAGGCTCCTTCTTGATCAGAGTAGCCTGGTGGCAGGATCGAGAAGGGGTCTGCGGCCTCAGAAGGATCTGGGTTCAAATCCCAGCCTGGCGACTTGGTAAGGACAGCCTGATGTGGTGAGAGCTTAGACTCAGAGCCTGAGGCCTGAGGCCAAATTGCGGTGTCCGCTTGGGTCAGCTGATGTGTCTGTGCCTCAGTTTCCTCCTCCATGAAGTGGGGGTCCCTGCAGTCCCCGGCACGCGGCTGTCAAGCCGACAGAGCCGGTGGATTCCCGGAAAGTGCTTCCCACAGAGCGAAGCGACCAGCCAGCGCCTGGCTGCTGTCAGCTCTGTGCATGAGGGCACGTTTGTTATGATTAGCTGTGGCGACAGGACAGGGACTGCGCGGAATGAAGCAAGCAAATCGCTGAAAAAATGCTGAGTAGGCGCCTGACAAATATTAGTGTTTTCTCTTCCACATTTTTCTGATAAGATAAAAAAAATTGCGTGGAGGGCAAAAATCTGCCGGCCTCATCATCGTCCCAGCGGGCACAGGCCTGCCACAGAGGGGACCGTGCCAGGGGGCGGCTCCTGCTGTCCTCAGGTTGTGAAATTCTGGAGAAAACACCCATGGACGTTCGCCTTAATGTTTAGATGCCATCTTTGGAAAGGTAGCTTTAAAAGACAGATGCAGGGCCCAGCTGGCGTGGCTCCGTGGTTGAGCATCGACCGATGAACCAGGAGGTCACGGTTCGATTCCCGGTCAGGGCACATGCCCGGGTTGCGGGCTCCATCCCCAGTAGGGGGCATGCAGGAGGCAGCCAATTCATGACTCTCTCTCATCATTGATGTTTCTCTCCCTCTCCCTTCCCCTCTGACATCAATAAAAATATATTTAAAAAGAAAAGGTGTAGCAGCGGTTCTCAACCTGTGGATCACGACCATTGGAAAACACATATAGCATATCAGATATTTACATGACGATTCATAACAGTAGCAACATTACAGTTATGAAGCAGCAACGAAAATAATGTTATGGCTGGGGGTCACCGCAACATGAGGAACTGTATGAAAGGGTCGCGGCATTAGGAAGGTTGAGAACCACTGAGCAGAGGCAGGGCTTGGGGTGGGGAGGAGATGGATTAGTCAGGTCAGGTCGGAGAATGAATGAATGAAGAAAGAATGAAGGATGAATTCATGAATGAATGAATGAATCTCCGATGAATGAAGCTGTGAGTGATGCCACGCTGGTTAGCTGGAAAGAGGACACGTCGTAGTCGGCAGGACCACGCTGTGGGAATTCCTCCCCATTGTTCATTGTTGAATGTTGCTGGGGGCGGGGGGGGGGGGGCGGGTGGAGGGAAGGGTGTGTGAGCCCCACGTGGTGTGATGCGCTTTGGCCCAAGTACGTTTCAGTTCTCAGGCCTGGAATCTGTCTCCGGAAGCCGCTGGCACCCTTATGTATCTACGTGACTCACCCCTCGGTGGGGAGAACCAGCCTGCCATCTCAGTGACACAGAGATACCGAGACGCGTTACTCACGGACGTGGCAGGAGAGGTGAGTATCTACACGCGGTGGAGGCAGTTTCACTATGTAAATGGGCAGCCTCGCAGCTCTGTGGGCGAGAGAGACTCACTCTGTGGGTGAGAGGAGACAATACGTGGCTAACACCCGACCAGTTAGCCTTTTCTTTTTCTTTTTTTTTTTAATCCTCACCTGAGGATATTTTCCCGTTGATTTTTACAGAGAGGGAGAGACAGAGAGAACCAGCGATGTGAGAGAGACACGTCGATGGGTTGCCTCCTGCACGCACCCCGACCAGGGCCCAGGCCCAGGAGGAGCCTGCAACCCAGGGACGTGCCCTTGACCGGAATCGAATCTGGGACCCTGCGGTCTGCAGGCCGACGCTGAGTCTAGCCCAGCCGTAGGCAAACTACGGCCCGCGGGCCGGATCCGGCCCGTTTGAAATGAATAAAACTAAAAAAAAAAAAAGACCGTACCCTTTTATGTAATGATGTTTACTTTGAAT